CACAATTTTAATCCCAGCCCTCCAGAGGCAGAGACAGGTGTGAGTTTGAGGCCAACCTGGTCTACAAAAGTGAGCTCCGGGACATCTAGGGTTGTTAACCTTGTCCCAAAAAAACAAAAACCTAGTCCAGTTAGTAAAAAAGTAAATTGATCTTGGATTTTTGAGAGCAGCAAAATCTGAGGGTGGATACTATATAAGATTCTGTTAATGATAATCATTATTTTATTGATGACTTTAATATTGTATATATTACTTCAGTAACAGTGCCTCCATAAAGAAGGAAAGTTCCTTGAATTGAAAAAAAAATTGACCTTTTACAGATACTTTTTTCTATTTCAATACAATTTTTCAGTCAAGTATAGGTTCTTAAATGAGCCAGCATTAAAGAGTGTCTGGTATTAGGCCTCAGACCAGTGTTCTCGCTTTAATTCCAGACATGTCTCCTTTGATTTCTGTCCCTCATTAAGTCTTTCATTGTATATGACTCAGATTGCTAATTCCCTCTTAAAATCTTTTGGATCTTATCAAAGATTTCTGAGTCGGGCTCTTGCTATAGTTTCTTAGTATTCTAATATTCTCCATGTATTAGGGTTAATCATCCAGTAAAGAAATAGTAATCATGTCCAGTTCTGAACTAAGAGATAACAATGGTAGCTGATACTTGTGGTGAGCTTGCTGTGTCTTTGTCATTGGATTATCTCTTTTAATCCTTAAATGCCATGAGTGTTATCCTAGTAAACATGTTTGAGAGGCTCATTTGCTTGAGACCAAAGGGCTAGTAAGTGATAGAATTGGCAAACAAATTATTTATTTATTTCTTGAGACAGAATTTCTCTGTAGCTTTGGAGTCTGTCCTGGAACTCGCCCTGTAGACCTGGCTGATCTTGAACTCACAGACATCCTCCTGTTTCTGCTTCCCAAGTGCTGGGATTAAAGGCATGTACCACCACCACCTAGCTTCATGTACCTTTCTTTATGCCTCTGTTTTACTATGTTATAAGCTACTTGATAGTGGGAGTAATATATTAATCTTTGATTTTTTTCATACCTGTAACAAAATAATTATAATACAGACTGGTAGTGTAAGTACATATCAAAGACATCAGGGCCCTAGGGAATTGGCTCACTCAGTAAAGTGCTTCCTGTACAAGCATGAGGACTTGAATTCTGTTCCTAATACTCACCTGTCTCAGAAAATAAGATGAAGAGTGATGGAAGAGGATATTCAACATTCAACTCTCCAAATGTGGGTGCACATGTGCACACACGCGCGTGTGCGCGCGCACGCGCGCGCGTGCGCACACACACACACACACACACACACTTAACAGACTTCTGTGTGAAGGCTTTCTGAACTGGAGACATGAACTGAGGAGGAGTTTGATTGGCGAGACAGAAGGGCAGACACCATGGTGTTGGGTGATACCTCAGAAGAGTGCCTGGGTGACGGTGCTAAGACAGGCTGTGACAACAGGAACTATGCTGCTCAGTACAACAGCATAGAGCCACGTGTTGCTATTGAGCACAAAAATATGATTAGTCCAATTGGAGGTCCAAAATATTAAATATATTTCTGGGTTTAGAGTAGGGTTATAATTCAGTGGTAGAGAACTTGTCTTTTACACATGTGGGACCCTAGCCTCAATTCCCAACACTGGGTATAGATAATACTAGTTTGAGATAATTTATTCATATAAAAATAATGTAATGTACCTCAGTAGTGTTAAAATAGTATTTGGGCCGGGCGGTGGTGGCGCACGCCTTTAATCCTAGCACTCGGGAGGCAGAGCCAGGCGGATCTCTGTGAGTTCGAGGCCAGCCTGGGCTACCAAGTGAGTTCCAGGAAAAGGCGCAAAGCTACACAGAGAAACCCTGTCTCGAAAAACCAAAAAAAAAACAAACCAGTATTTGGGGTATACTGAAGTAAACTATAATTCATTTTTTACTTGTTTTCTGAGATGGTTAAAAACTAAACACATTCAGTGTGCACTGCTGAGCTGTTGTAGAATTTAGAGCAATCTCATAATGCTGGAGGGGGCAATTGAGAAATACTGATTTACAAGGTTTACAAAATACTGATTTACTGTAACAGGAAGAAAGGAAGAACAGGGTAGGGTCAGCTATCTCTATAGTGCTGTAGAAGGCCTCCTTTGGCAGGGTTTTCAGCAGTTCATTTTTGATGAATGATATTCCAACCCTAACTTCTAATCTAGTCAGAATTCTAATAGAGGTAGGGATAGTTATCTAAATACATTCTCATAAAAGTGTGGTTCTCAAAAGAGAGCTGTCTATTCTTAAATCTGAATTAGCTTAGCTTGCATTTGATGAATTTCCAGCAAATAAGTCTCTGAGTTGGTTCTTAAAAAGTAGACATGGGGTCTGGAGAGATGGCTCAGAGGTTAAGAGCACTACTTGCTCTTCCAAAGGTCCTGAGCTCAATTCCCAGCAACCATATGGTGGCTCACAACCATCTGTAATGAGATCTGGTACCCTCTTCTGGCCTGCAGGGATATGTGCACTGTATACATAATAAATAAATAAATTAAAAAAAAAAGTATACATGAAGCTGGGTGGTGGTGGCACATGCCTTTAATCCCAACACTCAGGAGGCAGAGGCAGGCGGATCTCTGTGAGTTCGGGGCTAACCTGGTCTACAGAGCGAGTTCCAAGACAGGCTCCAAAGCTACACAGAGAAACCCTGTCTCAAAAAATGAAAAAAAAAAAAAAAAAAAAAAGAAAGAAGCAGACATGATCTCTTAATATTGTCTATATCATTCTGTTATGCATTGTTCTCCCCTAAAGTAAACTGACTTTTTCTGTTCAGGAAACCTTTTGTAACAAAAGAGGCCTGCCTGCCTTAATGATCTCTGAAAGGGAATTGCTTAGCATCTGCTGTACCTGCATGCCTCGATTTCTCTACATCCTTTTTTGTTTGTTTGTTGTGCTTGAGATGGGGCTTTATTCTGTTGCCTGGGCTAGCTTTGAACGCCTGGGCTTAAATGATCTTGCTTCTTCAGTCTCCTGAGTGGCTGGTATAATAAGCTTTTTATTGATGCCCCGTATATTAGGCTCCAGGCACTGTTCAGTTTGTGAAAAGCAGTAAGTGCAAAGTAAGATACCGTGTAACTTTAGAATGTACACTGGAAACTAGTCATGGTGGCTCATGCTTGTAATCCCAGTATTTAGTGTACAAGAAACAGACCTGAGAACTGCCTGTTCATGGCTAGCCTGGGCTAATACAAAGCAAGACCCTGGCCAAAATAATGATGTTAATGATGGTGGTGATGATGACAACTTTATTCTAAGTACTTAGTGAAGAAAATAATTTTATTGTAATTTTTATGTTGATGACATTTATAGTGACTATTGAATATATAAGTTTACATATAATTTGCTAAAAAAATTACACCTCAGTTTTTCACTTCAATACAACTACTGGGAAATTTTAAACTACATGTGGATCTCTTTATATTCATATTGGACAGTACTGTTTGAGCATTTCAGGATAGAAAGGTATGCTCCAAGAACTATAGACTTAGAAAATGTAGTTTTGTGTAATAAACAAATCCTTCATAACTTGATTTCTGATACCATTTTAATCACCTTATGGTGAAATAAAATAGGCTGTGGACTCAAGAACAGTTTCATGGCTAAAGCAGAAATGCTATCTCTATCAGTCTTAGGACTAGCAATGGAGTTTGGAGAAAGTAGCATATTTTGTGTTGATACATGCTCACAATTGAGCCTTGGAGTGTGCACACATGGACACATACATTTCTTTTTCCACTTTGTTCTTAAAATTTTATTTGTTAATGTATGCATGAGAGTACAGGCTTTGTTGCACATGGGATGGAGTGGGCCAGAAGTCAGCTCTCTCTGCTATTACTCAGGTTTCAGGGATCAGACTCCTGTCATATTTGTGCAGCAAGTGCTTTTACCCACTGGGTCATCTTGCTGGCCCTTTTGCAGTTTGTTTTTTTCTTTGCATTCACGTTAGTATCATAGTGCTTTAAGAAATATCTGCATGCAAATATGACAATTATTGCATGTGACTCAGTGTTCACTATTGGTGAATATTTTTGTGTGTTGCCCCCCCCCAAAAAAAAAGTGCTGCGAAGTGGTCTGGGAACACTTATCCTAACAACATTGTACATGTTTAGCATCATTTCAGTTCTCGTTTATTTTTTGTAAGGCTGTCTGATTTCTGGTTCTACCTTTTAAAGTGTCTCCGATGACTTTCTTACTGTCAGAATCTACCTAAGGGATAGTGGAGCCTGTTTGCTGCAGAGCCATTTTCCCCCTAGATGATGTGGCATGGTCTTCACTTAGCCAGGCCACACATTGTGACTATGTTGTCTCAAGTCATATTTTTATTATAGATAATGTGCTTTGTGTGCCCACAGAACCTTCATTTTCCTGACTTTTTCCTTAATTTATTTCTCCTTTCCCTTTCCCATCTCCTGATCACTTTTAATTTTGTACTTTTTTTTAAGCCTCCTATTTGTTAGATAGAGTATGATGTATTAGAGACACTGTCTTTGAAGCAGGTGAGCTAGTGGGATAAGTACCAGAAGAAAAAAGCAAAATATTGACATCACTCATTCCTTCAAGTATCCTGTAGGAAAGCATACCAAGAAGTAGTAGAGTGAGGTTGGTTTAATGATATATTAATCAGTTTGTTTCAGGATTTTTCATAGTAGATGAATGTCCTGTGTCTAAGAATGTAGATCACTTGATAGAGGACTTCGGAATCATATATGAGACCCTGGGTTTGATTTCATGCACTCCTAAAACATGTATGTAATCCCAAATCCTCAGAAGTGAAGGCAGAAGGATCCGAAGCTCAAAATCAACCTCAGCTGTATAGTTAGTTTGGTTGTGAGCCTAGCCTTTAACAGCTGAGTCATCTCTCCAGCCCATATAGTTAGTTTGAGGCTGACTGGGCTATGTGAGACACTATCTCTGTAAAAGAAAAGAAAATACTTTATAAGTTTTCTAAAATGTGCCCTAAGCATATTTATATTAGATGTTAAAGTATTCAATTAAAAATTCTTACTAGAAATTATTTGATACATACTGAAATAATGATAGCTTTTTTGTTCTAGTAGACTAGCTGCATGTACACTTTAGTCCTAATCAGTAGATTTCCAGTACTATAATTTTCAGTGCTGTGCAATAAATACTGTCATTTTGACTAGTTTCTAGCTCCCACCATGGTATCTCAGCAAGTGTAGTTGAAGGCATGTGTATTTAACACTTGAGTTAAACACACCTACATACCTGTTGCTCAAATCAGGAACAATACCAGCGTTACTATGATCTGCTGTCCTTTTGCCAAAATTGTTTCAAGTTTTCTTTGATACAGCAGCAAAGAATTCCCATTGTTTATTGTGTGCAGGTCTAGTCTGTATATTTTAAATTGTATATTCTTGGCTGTATCTCTGCTAAGCAACATTCTTAGCACTTTTCAAGTGAAAGCATATATAGAGAGGTTAAGTGATTTAAACCAGGCAGTCTCAGGTCTAGGATTCACTTTCATTCCCTCTCTCCTTCTGTCCTTATCTCCCTCTCTTCATTTTTCCCTCTAGTACTCAAGGTAGAGCCCAGGGCCTTGGGCTTTGCACATGCTGGGAAAGTGCTCTACCATCGAACTACATATTCAGCTTTTTTATTTTGAGAAAAAGCCTCACTGTGTGTCCAAGCCTGGAATTCGGACTCTTCCTGCTGACCTCTGAGTCTGAAGTCTGCTGTGGGATAATGCTTTTGTACACTGGTTTAATAAAATGCTGATTGGCCAGTAGCCAGTCAGGAAGTATAGGCGAGATAAACAGACAAGGAGAATTCTGGGAAGAGGAAGGATGAGTCAGGAGACGCCAGCCTGCCGTCCAGGGAGCAGCATGTAATGGCACACAGGTAAAGCCACGGAACATGTGGCAACATAAAGATTAACAGAAATGGGCTGAGTTTAAGAGTAGGAGCTAGTCAGTGGTAGGCCTGAGCTAATGGCCAAGCAGTTTTAATTAATATAAGCCTCTGTGTGTTACAGGACCAGGTGGGACACAGAATAACTTTCTACCACAGAAGTCAGTGTTGCAGCCCCATGCCTGTCTCAGATGTAGTGATCTGGCCCAGCGAGTCTGACTCCAGAATCTGTGCTCATGACTACAGCACACATTGTCTTTCAACAGTATTCTAATTTATAAATACTTTTTGCTTAAATTTCTTTCACAAAAGGTTTGCATTTGACTAGCTTGCTGGAATTGATTATACATTCTGAATCACTGGGCTTCAATTTATCATTAAATATCTTCAGTGTATTTTAGAAAAAGTTTGCTTACAGTCCTTTTTTGGTTTTGAAAACTTGCTTCTTTTTCTGTGTATTTGTGAAACTGATAGGGATTTTTGCAAGTTCATTTCTGCTCTTTAGAAAATTTGGTTCTCTCTGGCCTCTATTTCTTCAGAAAGTGGCTGTTTGGAAGATAAATATTCCACATGAATGGGTGCAAACTAAAAGATGTGGTGGGCATATTTTTGGTGATGTTATTAAATATACACAGTTGGTTGAATAGAGATCCTTGGAGCCAGAAAAAATACCAAATAAAAGTTTATAAATGGTAATAAAATGCTTTGTTGTTAAATTTTTAAAATGTGGAATTAGTGTTTACTTGTAACACTCTGAGAGCTCAAACAGTAGTAGACTTGCATATTTCCTGATTCAATTTAGCCTTGTATATTTACTGTATTTTTGCTTCAGTAGGGGATACTCTTTAAATTGTGAATTCCTGCAGAAATATTTTCACATAAATGAGCCCAAATTGTGATAATTAAGAGGTGTGTTCAGGTAAACTGAGGCAGAATCAAATTCAGAGTTTATTTGAGACATGGTAGTGAGCCAGTAGTTTCGAGCTGTATTTAGACAGTTGTTTTAATAATACAGCATACTGGTTGCAGTATGTTGTGGCAGTTATAGGTTGATGGCTTTTTTTTTCTTTTACTTTTCTCCTTTAGGTATCTAGACCACCTCCATGACTGGATGAATGGAAACTCAGTGATTTGAATTAAGAACCAACAAGGGATTGTCCTTGGACTTTGTTCTTTATAACACACTCTTCACATACTTTGCACAGCTCTTCTTGCCATTAAAACCTGCACTGAAGTTTTAAAAATGAAGCAATTGAAAAGGAAAAGGAAAAGCAATTTTAGTGTTCAGGAGACTCAGACCCTTTTGAAAGAAATTACCAAAAGGAAAGAAGTCATTTTTTCTAAGCAGCTCAACACAACGATAAATGTGATGAAGCGAATGGCCTGGGAGGAGATTGCACAGTGTGTAAACGCTGTAGGAGAAGGAGAACAGAGGACGGGGACTGAGGTGAAGAGACGGTACCTCGACTGGCGTGCACTCATGAAAAGGAAGAGAATGAAGGCCAACATGAAGCTGGTTGGTTCTGGGTTTCCTCTGCCCACATCTGATTTAGATGACTCTCTCACTGAAGAGATAGATGAAAAAATTGCATTCCGAAATGATGCAAATTTTGACTGGCAGAATGTGGCAGATTTCCGGGATGCAGGTGGATCCCTAACAGAGGTCAAAGTAGAAGAAGAAGAAAGGGACCCACAAAGCCCAGAAGTAAGTATTAACTGATGAGGCATGTTTTCTTTTTTAGATACCCACACATGCTGAGGAAGCGCCCAGATCTTCAAGCTCACAGACAGTAGATAACAATCATTCTGTTTTTTCCTAGTGCCCTTAATACCTGTGTTTTCACCTAAATGTAATTACCTCAGTGATACATACATATTAGTGACATCAGGTAATTCATTTAAATAATCTTAAGAGTTCAGATTAAGTAATTTTAATAAAAATTAAAGCATAGAAAGTTGTCAGATGAGGCAGGGCTGGGGAGATGGTTTACTGGGTAAATGGCCCAAGCCTGACATCCGTGGAACACCCACTAATGCTGAATGCTGTGGCATGTGTCTGTAACCCCAACACCCATATGGCAGAGACAGGAGAATAGACCTGAAGCTTCCAGTCTGCTAGCCTGGAGTTTGCCTCACAGTAAACAAGAAAAATCCTGCTTCAACATGGTGGAAGGCAAGCACCAAGTCTGGAAAAAACATTGTCCTCTGAACTCCATAAATGTGCTATGGCCTACATTCACCTGCACTCAGACATACTTACTCACAAATATGTAATAAATGAAATAATCACTAAAAGCTAATAACAGAGCAAACTGACAGTGACAGAAATGAAAACAAATACTAAATTAGCTTTTTTTTCTTTTCTCTCAGTTTGAGATAGAGGAGGAAGAAGAAATGTTGTCGTCTGTCATACCAGATTCCAGGAGGGAAAGTGAGCTCCCTGACTTCCCTCATATAGATGAGTTTTTCACCCTCAATTCCACACCGTCCAGACCCACATATGATGAGCCCCATCTGCTCATGAACATAGAAAAACAGAAACTGGAGCTGGAAAAGCGCCGACTGGATATCGAGGCAGAAAGGCTGCAGGTGGAAAAGGAGCGGCTGCAGATAGAGAAAGAACGGCTGCGCCACCTGGACCTGGAGCATGAGCGCCTGCAGCTGGAGAAGGAGAGGCTGCAGATCGAGAGGGAGAAGTGGAGGCTGCAGCTGGTCAGCACCGAGAAACCCGCCCTAGAGAATGAACTTGGCCAGGGGGATAAGTCCACGCTGCAGCCACAGGACATAGAAGCAGAGAAGTTGAAACTTGAGCGAGAGCGCCTGCAGTTGGAGAAAGATCGGCTGCAGTTTTTGAAGTTCGAATCTGAGAAGCTGCAGATCGAAAAGGAGCGCTTGCAGGTAGAGAAGGAGAGACTGCGGATTCAGAAAGAAGGGCATTTGCCTTGACTGTTCTCCATCCTCTTCTTAGCAAAGATTTATGAACTGTAGCTTTTCCCCATCAGTTGATGTAAAAGTGGTTGGTGGATTAGCTACCCCATCACCACCCCTGTCTAATGTCAGTGTTTTGGGTAGGAGAAAAGATAGTAACACATAGGTAGCCACATGGTTCAGTAGTATATTCTATAAACGCTCTGCCTACCATAAACAGATAGCAGAGGATCTGCTAGACTTTCACATTAGTGATACTGCATAGAGTCCTGTCTTATTTGTGCACCCCAAATTATTTAATACAATAATGTCTACAATAAAGTTCCCATCCAGTGATTCTCAAGTGGAGTTTGGGCACCCAGAAGACATTTTGGATTGTGTGGAGATGGTTTTTGGTGGTCAAAAAAGATATAGGTGTGAGCGGCTACTGCCCTCTTATCAGTAGAGGCTATAGGCTCTGCTAAACACCATGTAATGCCTGACTCTCCTCTTCACAGGAAAGAATTACCCAGCCCAAAATATCACTAGTGCCAAGTTTGAGATACCTAACCCTGGCCTAACTGTACACCTCTATAGCTATCTTTTACAGTTCTAGAATATTAAAACTTCAGATATTTATGTGGGCAGATATTTAAATGGCCAAAAGCATTTTAGCTGTGAGACATTACTGTGTAGTATATTGAAAATAGGGAATGGTGGAGATTGTAGGTACTTTATTCCCATGGTGTTGTTTATCAGTAGACTGAGACTTAGAAGCAATCCTGGAACTATCGGAGCTTGTATAAAATGAATCACTTTTAAAGGCAGTCGCCTTCAAGAATGGGAAGCTTTAGTTCCCCCTTCTTTAAATCTGTTGTCTTAGTTTGAATACAGAACTTACCATTTCAATCATGTACTAAAATGTTATGTAAGAAAATGTCAGAAGATAGTAAAAATGGTACCAGTGCCAAAATGGTGACAGTAGTCGATGATGTTGAACCCAATGAATTGTTGATTGATTTCTAAAGTGAAGAATAGTCATTTGAGACTGAGAGATTGAGGAAATGTCCTCTGCATCAGTAAAGTGGTGGTGAAATGATAGAAGTAGCTTTGTGTTATGGTTAGGGAAAGCACTTGCTTAACTTAATCTCTACAAGAGTCTATGAAAGGGTAACTTCTTGCTTCAGAATCTGAAATTCAGAGAAATCCTGCAGTAAGTAAGTGGCTGTTCTTTATACAGCGGTGTATTTTTGTCTTTTCCCCTTCAGGATGACTAAACTTTAGAATTCTGAAAGCAAAGGGCTAGCTTTGTCTGATGATTTGCCTACGGTGTCCTAATGGTCGTTTATCACAGTAAAGTGCTTTCTGATGCACAATGAAGTTGGAAATGGCTGCACGAGTTCACTTTGTGTTTTCTGTTTTCTAGGGATGATAGCTTTAATACAGTACTTCTGTTGACACACTACCTTGATTCTGTATTTGTTCCTTGTTAATTTAAGAATGGCTAGAAATCATGTTTGAATATGGGTATGCAGAGGGAAAATATACCCATGGTTACTTATCCTGATTTTGAAATAGTGTTATTTTTTTATAATTCTATTAAAAGCTTCTACCTTAAAAATAAATTTGCTTGTCTGAAAGTTTATCCTTTAAGGGTACAGATTCAGCATGGGCAGAAACTGTATTGGGAGTGTGTTAGGAACATAACCTAGACTTTGAGCTACATACCAAACATATTATTTATACCTATCCTCCCCCCCTTACTTTAATTGAAAAATTTTTCATGCATTGTCTTAGTATGAATTCCTATTGCTCTGAAGAGACACCATGACCACAGCAATTCTTATGTAATTGGTGCAGGCTTACAATTTCAGCGGTTTATTCCATTACCATCATGGTGAGAAAGCATGGTGTGGGAGAGGGAGCTGAGAGTTTTACATCTTGATCCACAGGCAGCAGGAGCCTGCCCAACACTGGGCATAATTTGAGCATACGAAACCTCAAAGCCTGCTCCCACAGTTACACACTTCCTCCAACAAGGCCAAACCTCCTAATAGTGTCACTCTCTTGGGGCCAAGCATTCAAACACATGAGTATGTGGGGGACCATTCCTATTCAAACCACATTCACTCCCTTGTCCCGATAAGGTTGTAGCCATAACATAATGCAAAGAATTCATTCAGTCAAACTTCAAAAGTCTCCATAGTCTATAACAGCCTCAATGTTTAAAAGTTCAGTCTCTCCTGAGACTCATGTACTCTTTTAACTGTAATCCCTTGTAAAATCTAAATAAAAAAGCAGATCACATACTTCCAATATATAATGGCACAAAATATACATTGCCATTCCAAAATGTAGGGAAGGGAGCATAGTAAGGAAATACTGGACCAAAGACCAAAAGACAGCTGGGCAAATTCTAAACTCTGCATCTCCATGTCTGATGTCAAAGTCGTCTTCAGATCTCCAATTCATCTCAGCTTTGTTCACTGCAAAACACATCTTTCTCTTGGGCTTTTTCCATTCTCCATTGGCAGCTGTCCTCAGCAGATATCCCATGGTTCTGGCATCTCCAACATCTTGGGGTCTTCAAGGCACTGCAGGCTTCACCTTTGCAGCTTCACACAATGACTTCTCTGGGCTTCCATTCAGGGACATCCCTGCCACATGCCTGACCTTAGCAGCTTTCCTTTGATGAGGAGGGAGATTCCATACTCCTTTTCTTGTATCCTTGGAGTATAAAGTCAGAACCATGTGACCAAAGCTGCCAAGTTCTGCTGCTTGCTGGGGATGGAAAAGGGCCCCCTCATTCAACTACATCTTCACCAGCTTTCTGTTTTCCATGGTTTTCCTTTACTGCCTAAACTTGGCTGTCCTTGAACTTGCTCTGGCCCAGGCTGGCTTTGAACTCAGATCTGCATGCCTGTGTCTCCTGAGTACTAGGATTAAAGGCCTGTACCACCACACGTGGACCCAAGCTGTTCTTTAATTCTTTTTTACAAGTTGGAAGCTTAGCTGAGTGGAGTCTTGCCCTGAGGTCACCATTCCCTTTATTCCATTTAACATCCCACTTTTCTTTTATCAGTTTATGTCCTTGAACACAGGATTTAGCTTCATTCTACTTCCTGTGCCCCTTGCTCCTCAAATCGTTGATTTTGTAACTTTCTTTGCTAGTTCCTTTCCATTATAGATCTTTATAAGAATGGCCACTAATAACCACATGACAGTCCACCCTAGGCTGTTTTGAAATTTCCTCTGCAAATGGAATTAATCCAAAACTCTTCAATTTAGCCTTAGGCAGATTTTTTGGACAAGAGCAAAAAGCAGGCACATTCTTCACCAAAGCAGCCTAATGACCTTCACAAGTGAAAGATTTACAACAAGCCCCCACGGTCAGGCGTGTCTGCATATGCCTGGCGGACACTTCCGCCTAGCTAGGTCCAGGTCCAGATAGCCATTTCCGGGTCAGGGCATCTCGCGTGACCAAGATCCATGACGTCCCACTAGCCACGTAAGCGTGCAACGTGGCCATGTGATCTACGCGCTTGCATGTAGTAGTGACGCTGATCTGTCCACGCCCAGCTTTTAAAATCAGGCGCCATGTTCCCGGTTCCTTCTTCTTCTCCACGCACGTGTTTCCCGCAGGCCTGTTCACTCTCTGTCCCTTTAATAAAACTCTTGTTAGCGGATTCTGTCGTGTTTCGTGGCATTTCCTTGCAGGGTAAGCACACAACGCAGCTGAAAAACTAACAACAAGAACAGTTGCTAGGTCACATACAAATTTTTTCTCCTGAAATCTCTTGAGCCAGGCCCCCATAGTTCAAATCACACTCAACACCACTGTCTTCCATGTTCTTACTAAGAGGCCCATTAATCCCCACTTAAAGCATTTTTTCAACTGCTTTTCTAATCCAAATTCCCAAAGCCCACATTCCTCCAAACAAAAACATGGTCAGGACTATCACAGCAATACCCCAATCCTGATACCAACTTCTGTCTTAGTTTGGGTTTCTCTTGCTGTAAAGAGACACCATGACCATGGCAATACTTATAAAGGAAAAACCACATACAGGTAGTCTGATCGTGGTTTCCCTTCACTCATCTCCTCTCAGGTACTCCCCACTAATCCAATTCCACACCTTCTTTTTCTCTCTCCCTAGAAAATAAACAGGCCAGTAAAAATACAAACAAATCATAATTTAAGAAAAACAAACAGAAGAAAAAACTCACCAGAAACATATACACATGTAGAGGTGCTGTGGGATGGTCTGTATGTCAAATGTGTTGCTGATTGGTCAATGAATAAATCACTGATTGGCAGTGGCCAGGCAGGAAGTATAGGCGGGACTAACAGAGAGGAGAAAGGAGAGAACAGGAAGCTGGTTGAGGGAGACACTGCCAGCCGCCATCAGGACAAGGAAGATGTAAAGTACCGGTAAGCCACAAGCCACGTGGCAAAGTATAGATTAATAGAAATGGATTAATTTAAGCTGTAAGAACAGTTAGCAAGAAACCTGCCATGGCCATACAGTTTGAAACCAATATAAGTGTCTGTGTTTACTTGATCGGGTTTGAGCGGCTTGGGACTGGCGGGTGAGAGAGATTTGTCCTGACTGTGGGCCAGGCAGGAAAACTCTAGCTACAATTGGCGCCCAACATGGGGCAAGAGTTTCCACCTAAAAACTGAGAAAAAAGATTCTAAAACGGAGCTAAAAACAGCTTCCTAATTGTCTCTCTCAAATGAGCGGCAGCCTGCGGTTTGAGCTACTGGTGGGTTCCTAGTGTGCGTGCTTGCTCGACCTGCCGCCGTATGGCGGGAATGAGGTCTCTGCAAGTGGCACATTAAGCTGCTTGGTGAATTTAGCCTTTGCTAGTACAAAACAAAAAAAGAGGTTTCTGGGCTACACGCTGCTTGGATAAAAGCATAGACCCACGATAGCTCCCAGAGCTGGCGGAAAACTACAGTACCGCCGCCATGTTGGGAAGCTGAAGTGGGCGGAGCCAGCAGCCACAGCTGCTGCAGCTTAAAGCAATAGATTCACAATAAGACAGATTCAGATGTAATAGTTTAAAATGTGTGTAAAATATACGTAGGCTTGAAAGAGACAAAAAAAGGTGATATATACAGTATAGAAACAAATACATGGTTTTAAAAAATAAAGTCTTTAAAGAGACAGTAAAATTAATATAAAAAATAAGCCACGTGAAGATGAATATTACACAGAGAATCTGGATTGTGTTGTCTTTGGGATTCTTAACTACAGAGAGATATTTGATTGTAAAGGAAGCTGAGTTAAACCAATATGCATATTTTAAAGGTACCTTGACTTCAAAATTTGGATATAAGGATATGTTGCTTTGGAAAGGAGATTCTGCTTTTGTTCCCACAGAAAGCCAGAGGCTATGGATTTATTCCAGATTAAGATACATCAGGTTTGACCAACCAAGACCCCCTGAAATGTCTCCGATGACACCATGGCCCAGATGATCCAACATCCAGAACCGTTTCAAGGCAACTGGCTCAGACGAATACACCCTCATGGACTACTCCATAATCCTAAAATGTTCTTTGTGTCCCCATAAGATACAGCGCCCCCCTCCAGCAGGAAGTAGTAAGAGAAACTACGCCCAAATTCCCAAATATACCAAGCTGACTTTGGAGATGTGTAAAGGTTAAAACCTTCCTTTTTAAGAAAAGAAAAGGGGAAGTGCTGTGGGATGGTCTGTATGTCAAATGTGTTGCTGATTGGTCAATGAATAAATCACTGATTGGCAGTGGCCAGGCAGGAAGTATAGGCGGGACTAACAGAGAGGAGAAAGGAGAGAACAGGAAGCTGGTTGAGGGAGACACTGCCAGCCGCCATCAGGACAAGGAAGATGTAAAGTACCGGTAAGCCACAAGCCACGTGGCAAAGTATAGATTAATAGAAATGGATTAATTTAAGCTGTAAGAACAGTTAGCAAGAAGCCTGCCATGGCCATACAGTTTGAAACCAATATAAGTGTCTGTGTTTACTTGATCGGGTTTGAGCGGCTTGGGACTGGCGGGTGAGAGAGATTTGTCCTGACTGTGGGTCAGGCAGGAAAACTCTAGCTACATAGAGGTATACATGCATACTCATAGAAAACCTTTAAAAAACACAAAATCAGAAATCATAATAGATAAACAAAAGACCAAAAAAAGGCCCAAATAAAGCATCATGAAACAAAACATCTCCAATCATATCTTAGAGTTCATTTTGTGTTGGCCATCTATTGCTGGACATGGAGCCTGTCCTTAGGTGTGATTTGTATATCCAATGAGATTCTCTTGGAGAAAACCAATTTTTCCTTTGCTATCAGTTATCAATTAGAGATAGCTTCTTGGTTAGGGATGGGGGCATGTGTCCATTTCCCATCTCAGCACTGGGACACCACCTGGTTTGGAAGCCCTGTGCATGCTCCAGGTTCTGTGCGTGCTCGTAGAGG